ATTAGTTATTAAAATGTAGATGCTACAGCAAAAAATATTTGCTGCTAAATTCAAATAATATATAACCGAATCTACTATGCTATTTTATCTTCACAATAGAGTATAATAATATTCATTTGCAGTATACAACTTATATACTGTAAAATATAAATGCTAAATGCGCTGTATAGATGTGCATAGGTATTGCAGTGTCACATTGCAAAAACAATTATAAATCAAATTTTTGCGCGTAGCTATAAACTTAACTCTGTGTGCTAAATGTGTGCATGATAAGACATTTAGGTACGTATGCCATCTTTTTAGCTGCCTGTGCTAATATATATGCAGCTTTTAATTTCAGTTAATAAATTTTTTTGTCACAGTGAATGTTTTTTATCTGTATAATAGCCAGAACTTAGCAATGACACTAAGGCGATAGCTCTTATAGCTAAGTTTGATTCGCAGCTATTGAAATTTAGCTGCTATTATTAAGTCATTTTTTTGCGTGTATGTACAAGGCATTTAATTTTTCAATTTTTATTGTATATAAGTACACTCGACAGCAAAATTAAAGCATCACCCATTCTGATCACTAAAAATAGGCAAATTTCAAGAGAGTGTAACTTCGTCAAAAATGATCGTATCGGAATGATCAAAAAGCATTTTAGAGCTTAAAGTCTCTACTTTCGACACGCATAATTCATTAAATTACTTACTGATTCTTTATAAAGTTGCACGGATGCAAATGGAGATGCATCAAATCTAAAAATTTTTTACCAAGTTTGCGAAGTTCCAAAAACTAAACTAAACATCGCACGGAAATGACGTTTACATCGTTCGAAAGCGTAAATCTTTAGCTTTAATTTCAGCACCCGATCAGCAATGTGCGATTTTTTTTCACCGAGTTATTCAACATTGAAGCAAAAAGGACCATTTTTGCTTTAATGTTGAATAACTCGGTGAAAAAAAATCGTACAACGCTAAAAAAAAAGCAAATTAAAGGTAAAGATTCACTCTTTCGAAAGCTGTAAAA